TAAATGACTACTAAATTTGAATGAGTCTAATAGATGAGAGGTGTAAGATAAGGTAGAGGTTGAGAGACCTAACTTTTAAAAAAAAAAATTATAATACAACTGTTAATGGGTTAAACGGATTGAAGCGAATTTATGGGTAAAACACGAAACCGGTTCATTTATTTTACAGGTCTGCTGAGTTAACCCGTTAACCACCCGAACCCGTTAAGACTACAACCAAACCCGCTAAATCCGTGTCGAATTCATGTCGATTTTACAAGTCGTGTCTAGAATTGTCAGGCCTAGCTAATAGACAAGGCTCCTATCTACATGGGTTTTGAGAAAGATAAATGGTAACATTACTCCCATTATAAAGAAGTTGATTCTCATGCTCAAAATTGTCTTGAATGGATAAACACTTATCGATCACTCCAAATCTGATCTCTACTTTAAGAACACCTTCACAATTTCCCAATTTAACCCATTCTTAACATACTTTTTTCTTTTTAGAATTAATTTTAAGAAAATATGATGAAGGGCCTAGAGGGGCCTCTTTTGGTAAGATAACTATTTTCTTAAGTAGGTATATTGGCAGATTCAACTAACTACTGCTGTTCTTCTCAATTGGAAACTGTCAGTATATTTACCTATAGTGCCAAAGTATAGTTTCGTGAATGTGACACATTCCAAAGCCCCTTTTTAACTTGTAGAAAACTTTCAAACATTGAGAAAGTTTGAGTTCAAAAATCTTCTCCCAGTCTTAAAAGGTAATATCCAATGCACAAGTTCTTTATCTATAATAAGATTTGAAAAAACTAAGTATTGATAGTCTTACTGTCAGTTTTAAAAAACAGACTGGTACCCACGATATATCGCTTGGGTGTATATCATAATATGCATTATATTGGAGTGACAACTTTTATCCATTTTTCGATATTGTATCTTGTTCTCAACATTTCTTCATATGATGGTATGATGGATATTGATAACATTTGTTGGGAGGTCCTAAAACTTGGTGGTAAATCTTCTTTGTTCTTGAAAAGGGGTGCTTGATATAGAAGTTATGTTGAGGAGTGGACAGTAAGGGCTCACCTATACAAAAATAAATCAGAGGCTTTGGGGCCAAGACAGAGTAGGAGAGATGTGTAATTACTAGCTGCCTTTATCACATATGATTACAGATTACCCATCCAGCTTGGGCTTTCAACAAAGAATCTGCACCTTTTTCGTCTTTTCATTTTTATATCTACTACTATATTTTAAAATTATATCATATCAATGACGTGTTATAGAAATTTTTATAGTAGAGAGAGAGAGAGAGAGGAGCCCTATTAAAGTACACCTTGACAAGGCATTCTTTAGAAAATAAAACACTAGAACAGAGGGAGGATGACATATAACCAACACTTAGGAAAGGGGAAAAAATGGCCTATATGTTAGGTAGATTAGGTTAGATTAGATTCTTGTTGCAACTTTTTTTTTTTGTAACAAATGAAGACCCGAATTCAAGAATTTAGCCAAGGGGTCAAAAGCATATGGGAGGGCGACTTTTTAAATTTGTAAGAGATGATTTGGAGGTATTTGTAACTAATAATAATATACTAAAAGTGATTTCTAAACCTTTGGAGGGGGACGATTGTCCACACTAGCCTCTCTTAGATCCATCATTTTGTGCATC